AAGGTGAGGTGCAGAACTCAAATTCCAGTAAGAAGACTAGACTTAATGGTCTGACTGAGACTGGAGGAACCCCAGAAAGCATGGCCCCTGGATTCTCTATCAGCCCAGAACTAAAATAATTTCTGAGGCCAACTCTTCAGACAGGGATTGGATTGGACTGTGGGGCATAAAGTGATACTCGTGAGGAGTGTGCCTCTTGGCTCAAGTAGATACAAGAGACTAAACGGGCAGCTTCTAGCTGGAGGCGAGATGGGAAAGCAGAGGGTTAGGAGCTGGCTGAATGGACATGGGGAAGCAGGGGTGGAAAGGAGGAGCATGCTGTCACAGTATGGGGAGAGCAGTTAGGGTCACATAACAATGTATGTATAAATTTTTGTGTGGGGAAAAAAAAGTATGATGAAAGGATGAGAAAAAAAGTGGACTGTGTTATTCTTTCAAACACCCATAAAGTATTTCTCTTGCCTTTCTTGCTTGTGAACACTCTTTTCCAATGACTACGCTATCTTCCTATGTTATTGTTATGGACTGAATTGTGTTCCCCAAAAATATGCGTTGTAAATCTTAACCTCTATACCTCTGGGACTGGGGAAACCCTGGTGGTGTAGTGGTTAAGTGCTACAGCTGCTAACCAAAAGGTCGGCAGTTCAAATTTACCAGGCGCTCCTTGGAAACTCTATGAGGCAGTTCTACTCAGAATCGACAGCAAAAGGGTTTTGTGGTTATGGGAATGGGTTTTCTTTGTTATGTTAATGAGATAGTATTAGTGTGGGGTGTGTCCTGAGTCAATCTCTTCTGAGATACAAAAGAAGCAGATCACACAAGGAAGCAAGCCTGCAGAGATGGAAGAAGGCAGATGCCACACCACATGAACATTGCCAAGGAACTGAGAAACAGAAGCTGAAAAGAGACAAGGACCTTCTCCCAGAGCCAAAAGAGAAAGAAAGCCTGTGCCTAGAGCCAGTGCCCTAAATTCAGACTTCTAGCCTCCTAAACTGTTAGAAAATAAATTTCTGTTTGTTAAAGTCACCCACTGTGGTATTTCTGTTATAGCAGCACTAAGACAGTTATTAAAAACTAGTAGTACAACCATCATAGTAAAGACTGGATCAGGCAAAAACCATCAACAGATGCTGAACCTTGGGGAAGATTTTGACGAGTAGCAGGGTATCTGCATGGTGGTAAAGGAGCCCTGGTGGCACAGTGGTTAAGTGCTCGGATGCTAACCTAAAGGTCAGCAGTTGGAACCCACTAGCTGCTCTGTGGGACAAACATGTGGCAGTCTCCTCCCATAAAGGTTACAGCCTTGAAAACCCTGTGGGGCAGTTGTACTCTGTCCGATAGGGTCACTATGAGTTGGAATCAACTCAATGGCAATGGGTTTGGTTTTTTTGTTTTTAAAGACTGCCTACTAGTTGCAAGGGGATTAAAAACCAGCAATTTTAAAGCAGAGAAACTGAACAACACCGTGACCCAGTGATCAACATTAATCTCACCAATGAGGGGCAGAGGAACCCTGTGTGTCTATGACGTGATATGCTGTAAAGGACACAACATCAACTTGCAGTATTTCAGCTGAGAATGCATGACTGGCATCCAATCAGGAGGAAACACCAGACCAACTCAATATGAAGAAAGTGCAAAAACAGCAGGGGGCTGTGCTCTCAAAAAATGTAAATGTTATAAAAGACAAAAATAGGCTAGGGAAATGTTCTAGATTAAAAGAGGTTAAAGAAGCATGATAACTAGATGCAATGCCCAATTCTAAACTGGATTCTGTACTGAAGGGGGAATGACGGAGGGCATTACTGGTTCAGCTGACAAAATTGGATAATGGATACCTGATTAGGTAAGAGTTTGTTCAATCTTTCATTCCTTAAGTGAGAAATGAGATACCAAGGTAAAAATATAATGGAAGTACTAGGTTTTCTGACCCCATGCATAACTAATTTTCCCACTGCTCATCTTTACAGAGTATCCAGCAAGTGAGTACTTTCTCCTCCTTGAGTGTGGACAGTATGCTTTAGTTTTCATTTCAGCAATAAACACTAAATATAATTGTGGGAAAAGGAAAAACAAATTAATATGCCTCCCTGACCAGAAGGCTCCTATGAGCTTACCCAAGACATACAATTTTCACACTATGGCTCCATGGCCTCCAAAATTAAAAACAAAATCTAAGAGTTCAAGCTGCAATAAGTAGCGCTTTGTCACTTCAGGTATTCATTGTCAATAAGCAGCATTACTAAAAAGTACAGATAGAATCATTTCTAAGGAAAAGTACATGTTTAACATTTCCACTGTATCTAAGAACTACAACTTTCATCTTCATCTCTCAAACCCGCATCAAAGAACTTTTAATATAACGAATTATATTTTTCTACACAAAATTTCATGATATACTTACAGTTTCACAAGTAAGACATCTGGTTTCATTAGTTAATGTTCCCTGAAAAATCTCATGAACCCACGTTGGGTCTGGTGTGCTGTTATTGTTTTCACTGTCAATATTACCATTAGGTAAGCGGCCATTTTGTTTTTCCTGCTTTCTCTCTTCTTGTAAAATATCAGCAATTGTATTTAATAGGTAATTTAAGAATTCATGGGCATCTTGCTGCATGTAGTTGTCAAAAAGCTCTAAAAATTAAAAAATAACATTAGATAATTAATTCAGAATCAATAACTTCAAACAAACAAAAAAATTAAAAAAAAGAATTATCTAGTAAAAAAAACCAAATCCTTTGCCTTTGAGTTGATTCCGACTCACAGTGACCCCATAGGACAGAGTAGAACCGCCCCATAGGGTTTCCAAGGAGTGGCTGGTGGATTCAAACTGCCGACCTTTTGGTTAGCAGCCAAGCTCTTAACTACCGTTCCACCGGAGCTCCAGAAAGAGTACAGTTAACATTGTTAAAATGAAAGCTGACAAATTTAGAAGAAAATTTAGGGTAAGTTTTCCAAGACGAAAAGGAATAAAATAAATTACACTTTGGAAGAGCTACAATATGACCACATAAAGTTCTAAACATTTAGAAATCATGAAGTTAACCTGAAAATTATTAATATCTTCAACATATAAAGAGCTCATAGAAAAGAAAACAACACAAAGTGGGCAAAGGACTTGAAATTCACAATTTATAGAAAAAGAAATTCAAAAGGTTAAGAAAAAAATAAGAATAGTAATCAAAAGTTCTTGATTTTCCCGTATATAAAATTAGTTATCCTCTTCCTTTGCAAAGTTATTGTAAAAATAAAATGGGAACCAGTGAAAGCCCCTATTGGGAGGTGTAGTAAAAGAAAATAAAGAATGTTTTTAATAGTGGTGTCAAACAAAGCTTATAAAAAAACATCACATTCAAGGTGTGGCTGCTAGAGCTAGACTGTTTGGATTTTATTCTGGTTCCAATTGGACGTCCGCCATTCACTTGACCTCCCCGTGCCACAGTTCCTCACCAGAAAAACGGGGCTAATAGTAGTACCTACCCCATGGGGCTGTTACGAGAATTAAAAGTGCTTAGAACACAACGTTGTAAGTGCTCAAAGATCATGAGCCCTTGCTGCTATTATTACTGTTATTGAACAGAGCACACACACGTACACAAAGCCCAGAAGCCATAAAGAAAAAGACTGACCACATAAAAATTAAGAATTTTTGTATGGCAAAAATGCCATAAACGAAGACAAGTAATGAGCTAGAAGAAAATATCTGCATATGACTATCCAGAGTATGTAAAGGCTTAATATCTAGAATATTCAAACAACTCCTTTACAAAACAAGAAAAGGAAACCCAACGAAAATACTGGCAAAGAGAAATAGGCAATTCAGAGTAGAAAGACAAATGGCCAAATAATGTACAAGTGACTGGAAATATAAATTACAACAATGACAAGACATCATTTTTGCCATCACTTTGGCAAAACAGAAATGACAGAGTGCCCGGTGTTGAGCGGAGCGTAGGGGACGGCACTCTCACCCCCGGCTGCCGGTGCCTCATCTGGTTTGGCCTGCTCTGGTCTGTGCATGTACTGAAATGAGCACGGACATGGCTGCTCGTTTATGTAACAAAGTCTGAAAACATCCCAGCTATTTATTAGGAGAATGGTTTATTTTTAAATTATTTAATTTATGGTATAATTTTGTTAGGGAACACTGGGCAATAGTTAAAAAGGAAGTAGTTCTGTATGAACCAACACGGTAACATTTCCAAGATACCAAGTCAAAGCAGCAAGGATGCAGAATGTGTAGCAGGATCTCATTTTTACCTAAAACAAACAAGAACAATAACAACAATAATGACAAAAACGTCACAAAATGTAACTATAGTTTTCTATATTGTTGTTGTTAGTTGCCGTCAAGTTGATTCTGACTCATGGAGACATGATGTGTGCAGAGCAGAACTGTGCTCCACAGGGTTTTCAAGGCTGTGAGCTTTCAGAAGCAGATCATCAGGCCCATCTTCCGAGGTACCTCTGGGCTGGGTTCAAACCACCAACCTTTCGGCTAGTAGTTGAGTGCTTCACTATTTGCGCCACCAGGGACTCCTTATAGTTTTCTATATGGACATATATATTTAAGTGCATAGAAAAAGGTTTGTAAGATCCAAATTATTCCTAAAGAAGAAGGTGAGATTAACGGGTTGGAGACAGGGCAAATCATCAAGAGAAACTTTTACAAGGAAATTTTACTGTAAGAATGTATACATATATTATTTGTATATTTAAAAATAAAACAGCTTTCTACACAAAAAGCCCACTTCCACTTCCTATCATTGCCTGTTGCACATCCTTCATATCCAATACTTCCCAAGCCCCTTTTTTAAAAAACATTTTCTGCACGAGTCTATCTGTTCCATTTTCACTTTTGTTGTTGTTCATAACGTTTTTTCTTGTTCTTTTACAGTCTGCAGGATCTGCAGGGATGCCCCTCATGTTGTTCTTTTCATTTTGATCTGTCTAGTTCAGGTGAGCTCCCCTACTCAGATTACTTACAAAAGTCTCCTGTCCTTCAGTTTTACTCTGCTCTGTTCTACCCTGAAGGAGCCCTGATGGTACAGTGGCTAACCCTTTGACGACCCAATTATTTTGAATTTTTTGTTGATATCATGTGTTTTAATTAATGGAAACATGTTGAATCACTGAGTGTGTCTCAATTTTTGGTAGGTAGTATGGATTTTTTTTTTCTTGCCTCCCGCCCTCCATAAGCCCACCCAAAGTGTTTAGTGGTACTACCACTAATTATACCCAGAGTGTCACTGGGGCCTACTGGTATATATGCATAACAAATAAAAATTTCCAAAATTTCTATTTTTCCTATCAAAAATTCAGATACCTCATTCATGCAGCACATGCCCATTTCTTCAGTTTCAAACAGTCATAAAGGCCCCTGCCTTTCAGCAGCATGCACTGTCAGTGGTACAACAGCTTCCCAATAAACCTCAGAGGCTGAAAAAGTTCATGGTCACTATATGTACCGCTGGGCACGAAAGGGTATGGCTGTCAACCGAAAGGTCAGAGGTTCAAACCCACCAGTCACTTTGCTCTGTGAGAGAACACCTGGCAATCTGCTTTCGTAAAGATTACAGCCTTGGAAACCCTACAGGGAAGTTCTACTTTGTTCTATAGGGTTGCTACGAGTTGGCATCAACTCAACAGCAATTGAGTATTCCACCCTGTACATACAGAAGAGTTTGCAAACACACACCTTTGATTCATAGACTGTGAATCTTTCTACTTGGCACTTCCTGTATTATGGTACGATTCACATTATATCTTTCAGATTCATTATTTAATTAATTTCACATACCCAAATACATTTTACAAATTTCGATCTCAAATCAATTACAATAATATTAAGAATGCAATTGGAGCCACACTTCATTTCTCTGCTATAAATTTAACCTGAGAGATTCAATTAGCCTTAAATAAATTCACTGTTATTTTTAAGAATAAAAGGCATGAGTTCTAAGGGTTACCACATTAGTCTACATGGACTTTTAATACCTAAACGATCTTTACTGTGGTATGCTGGGTGTCCACTGGTTTTTGCCCACAAGGGATAGCAGATTCATTCCCTACTCCCATGCTCACAGCATAAGTCACTATAGCTATTCCCAACATAGTGATTCAACCTATACCTCTGCAAACCTTGGCAGTTCACTCCACCCGAGACGGCCAAGTAGTGCTTAGGAACCTAGATGGTTCTGCCACTGGAGAGGACTATACCAAGTCGAGATCACTGAAGTCAATGACTCTGAACCTTGCTTCTCAATGCAATAATCTTCCACTCCTGAAGATAATACCCTACCCCTCAACCCCATTCCTTTCTCTACCCCATCCCTATCCTCTACTACCCACATTCACTTATTGTACCTTATTTCCTTCCTCATCCTCGGGATTTTCTTCTTTCTCAAATTTTTCTGCTGCTCTTTCTAGGAATCTCGATCTGTTCTAAGCAAACTCCCCATCTCTTCAACCTTTAGCATCTTCTAGCTCCCTGCTGTCACTTCTAAACCATTACACTTTCACTTGCATATAAAAATTTGCCCTCAACTAATGAGGCCCAGCAGTCCAGGGACAAGGTCCAGAAGGCAGAAGGGGACAGGAAAGCTGGTGATAGGGAACCCAACGTTGAGTAAGGACAGTGTTGATGTGTTGTGAGGTTGTTAACCATTGTCACAGAGCAACATGTGTACCAACTGTTAAATGAGAAACTATTTTGTTCCGTAAGCCTTCATCTAAAGTGAGAATAGCAGCACAAGTGGAAGAGCGTAGTCAATGTCACTGAACTGTGCATGTAGAAATTTTTGAAATGGTGTATCTTTGGCTACGTATATTTTCACCAAAAAAAAAAAAAGGTTGAGAAGGGAGAGGGCTGATATATTGTGGGGTTGTTAACCAATGTCATAAAGCAATATGTGTACTAGTGTTTCATGAGAAACTATTTGTTCTGTAAGCCTTCACCAGAAGTACAATAAAAAAAAAAATAAAGTTGCCCTCAATCAAAGCTCATCGATCTAGTCATACTACCCTGTACCCTCCTCTCTCTGTTGTCATATGCCAGCCCCCTTCCCCATCAATCCTCTGATGGCCTGATTCATGGTTTCTCTCTCCACTCAACTCCTGCCATGAACTTGATAGTTTCAGCATCTACGCAACTTCCTTAAATGCACATGCGCTCCTTAAATCAAGTGCCGTGGAGGTCAACTCTTCAGACAAAGATTAGACTGGACTATCGGACATAAAATGATACTTGTGAAGAGTATGCTTCTCAGCTCAAGTAGATACATGAGGCTAACTGGGCAGCTCCTGTCCAGAGGTGAGATGAGAAGGCAGAGAGGGTCAGGAGCTGGTTAAATAGACACAGGAAATCTGAGGTGGAAAAGAGGAGTGCGCTGTCACAGTACAGGGAGAGTAACCAAGGTCACATAACAACATATGTATAAATTTTTGTATGGGAGCTAACTTGAATTGTAAACTTTCACTTAAAGCACAACACTAAAAAAAAAAAAAATCAAGTGCTGTCTTTGCTCCTTCACTCACCCATTCCCAGGTCACAAATCTAGAATCCCCCCACCTTGAGAAGGTTCAGTCAGATAAAGATCGGAAAGAATAATGGCTAGAGTTGAGAAGGGGGCCTG